ATGAGAGGAAACTGTCATCTTTTTTTTTTTTGCGAAATCAATAGTCACGTAATGGAACACGACTGCACCTAAATAAATTTCTTCTTGTGGCACAAAAAGAGAATGGAAACGAAGGATCAGAATATCAGAAAACCTCCCTACTTTAAACTAATGGGGAAACTTGGTTTTTTTTGGTTTACCAAACATTTATTTAACAGCAGTTGAAATTGTTTTAAGATTCTTTTACCGCTTGGTTCAACTTCATTACAAAACAAAACACACGACTAGGGAAGATTCATGGAAAGAAAAATGACACAAGAAAGGATAGATATGCACATTGATTGAGAATATTAAGAATTCACAATAAGTAATGTGCAGGTTGCCCCATTGTCTTAGGTTCGCTCACCAGTGGATCGATGATGCGTTCCCAATCTTCAAACGTTAAAGCCGAGCCAGCATCCGGCAATGGAAAGCCGTTCACAAAGAAAAAAGGTGTACCATAAACCCCCTTGAGGCAACCATACTGTTGAAACAAAATGTTTAGTGAACTAGCACAAACCATTAAATACAAAATAATTGAAACAAAAAATCATGGTTAGTATGAAGAAATACTAACTTGTAATCAAGTCAATAGCACTAAAAAAAGAAGAAAATCATGTTTAGGTATATGACACTCTTGAGATTTTGAGTTTCATTCTAAAAGCCCAGCTTACTTAATATGGAGAGGGGGGGGGGAGTGGCTCAATGCCATATATGTTGCCTTGTGTTTTTATGTTTATCCACTGTGGACGACGTATACAAAAAAGATGACCCACCATCATATAAACCGTAATACGGAGTACTATATTTTCTTTTTACCTTGAAGGAAAATCTTGTCGCCCGATCAGATGTGGGGTCGCTAAACCCAGATTCAATTTCATCATATGATGAAAGCCCAACAGCCTGAGCTGCAATCCTAGAGACTTGAGCAACAACAGCTTCTCTAGACAAGTTGAAGGTTGCTTTGTTGTAAAGCTCCTCCTGTTTAATAACATACAAACCACATTCATTCCAATGTGTACGTCATGCCAAGGCAATAATCACAGAACTTCCACAATGATCCATCAAAAAATAGCTAAAGATTAAAAGAGCTATAAAAGTAGGGACTAAACTGTGTTCATTTCTTACCTGGGAATCAAAGAAATACTCCAACAGCTTGTATGTTGCAGAAGCGTTTAACTTATTGACAATATGCAAAGCTCGGGAGCAAAGAAACGAGTTATCATGGTAACTGCATTTCCCGGGAATTAAACAAATAAATCAGCTGCGTGCAAACTGCTATATCATTACAAAAAAAAAAGCAATATACATTTAACTTCTCAATTTCTCAAAGAACTTCCTGCTGAATAAGAGAATAACAGAGATTTTTACTTCTCAATTTCACAAAGAACCCTAGCGATGTCTAGCATCAAAAGGAAGAGAATGGCCCAAAAGTGAGCTCATCAATTCAGTCAGTTCTCTACATTTATAAGCTCTCAGATTCATAACAAGTTAAAATAAACGAAGAAGAAGAAACCATTAACAGCTAGACTCCTAACAGATCAGAAAAAATTGTACAGGCAGAAATGAATGAATCCGATCGGATTGATGAAAACGGAAAGAGATAATAAGATGGAGGAGAAGGACGGACGGCAAAGGGAAGGGGTAGACGGCGAGAGAGATGCGAGAACCGTAGTGATGGAGGGCTTGTCGGAGGGGAGGCCACGAATCTCGGCTGTCGGGGCAGACCGGGTCCATGAACCCCTCGATCAAAACGGATTCAGTCCCGGCGGTTCTATTCTCGAACCAGAACCCAATTTGCTTCGCCGGAATCGAAATCTGAGCACGGGCTGCATAGACCAGCAGGAGCAACCACCCAAACACTACAAACTCCGCCCTCATACTCATATTTCGGCGGCGGATCAACTGTCTCCGCCTCTGCAATGGCTCGGTTCGGCTGATTCAAGGCGGTCAGAGAGAGAGAAAACGGAACCTTTTTTCTTTTTTGTTTTTTAGTAAGAAAAGAATGAGAGAGTAAGATCTGAATTCGATTTCTGTTACTGCGTTGGGAGATAACTATGCTAAGCATTAACCTCTGCAAGTACTAGATACAGGCTCCATTCTTTGCCACCAAACTGTAATCAAATTCTAATTTACTTTCTCTCAATCACCGTCCGGTCAGATTTGAATTGTAAAAATCACCCTAAATAGGTCTAAAACACAAAGAAAAATACCAAAATAGAACTTTCATGTTTTTTTTGAAATAGGACTTCGCATTTTGGTAATGTGATTGTAATGTGGCACTGTATATGTACACATTACTATACTTTTTGGTAATGTATATGACCATGTTTGGTAATCTAAATGCATTTTAAGTCCTATTTCAAGAATAAAAACATTGAAGTTCTATTTTGATATATTTTCAATGTTTTAGTCCTACTTTGGTCTTTCTCGTTTTTAATTAATCCTCGAGATATGGGACTTACCTTTTTCTTTTCTTTTTTTTATTATTTTTCTCTGTTTCCTCAACTGTTTTGGCCCGTCAGGAAATTTGTGAAATTACAATGGATATGGTTTTGGGCTTAATTTATAAGCCTAACTTTATTATTAAGTCAAATCCCCAAAATTCACTCATTTTAAGCCTGCTTTATTAATGTGAAATTTGCACTGGATAGGATTAAAACATATGGCATTTCCTAATGTAGGACTTAGGCCTTGTTTGGATCCTGGCAGTTGGCAGTTGGCAATTGGCTGTTTATGTTAGCTGGTTTGAATGGTTGATTGAGTTAGCTGTTTTGACCAGCTGTTTCTGTTAGCTGTTAAATTTTAAGTGTTTGACAACTTTAGCTGTTCATAGTTAGCTGTTTGTAAGTAAAATTACATAAAAGGACATCCCTCCATTTATGTTACTTTGTATGCAACTTTTAATTTTTCTTTAATTTTCATAAAATACGTACATTATACAAGCAAATACTCTGGACATCCCAACATCTTTTTTTTTGGACAAAAATGGCTACTTCATTTTTTTTATAATTTAAGAAATGAAAATTTACATTTATATTTTATGAGTAGACTTTTTTTATATTTATTTCATTTTTCATTCTACAAATAACAATCTTACATGGTATATTTTATTTTACAGTTTTTATAAATATCATATTTTACATTCAAATAAACTACAACCAAATATGAAGAATCTGCACCAAATATGAAAAATCTGCACCATGGTTGATGTTTCGGTTTTGGAACAACAAATAAATTAATTCTAGAAATGAATAAGGGTGATTTAGGGTTTTAAAATTTTTCTCAAATCAATAATGGCCCATGGGATAAAACTGGAGAGAAGCTAATTCCCCACCATGGTTGATGTTTCGGTTTTGGAAGAACAACTGGAGTCAAAGAATTTTGGATGGTGCATAATCGCATCAAAATTGCAGCAATAAAACAACAAAGAAGCATAATTGCAGCAAAAAACAAAATCACAACAGAGAAGCATCGCAGAGGAAAAAACAGAATCGCAATTTTAAAAAATTGTGAAAGGCGCCGTGATGAAAATCGAAGAGAGGAATCGCTGCAAGTGAGTCGTCTCCTTCTGGTGCTGCGAGGAAAAACGCGGAGGAATTGTAGAGAATAATAGTAGAGAGAAGCGCAGAAGGCGAATAGAAACAAGAGGGTAAGAAGCGGAAAAGTTTGCCAACTGCTATTGGAAATGCTCCTATGGTTGGCTTCTCAAATTTTGGCAGTTCAGTTTCAAATGCTAAATCCAAATGCCATTACCCAAACAATTAATTCAGCAGTTTGACTAGTCTAATCAGCCATTTATGGTCAAAGATGTCAAATGCCAACTGAACTGCCATTTACCAAACATGCTCTTAAACTTTTTTATTCCCTAAATAAGACTTAATAATGACCAGTGAGAAGAATAATGTCCAAGTGATGCTCGATATTTAGTTGAATAATGACTAATAGATAATGATCAATGGTCCTACATTGAGAAATAAAAACATATGATCCTGTATTGAGAAAGTCATTATGTTTTACTTCTATTTAGATAAATTACCCTTTATTAATTACATAGTACTACATTCATTCATTGAGATGTGATTTGTACTCCGCACGAGCGTATGAACGGTCCACTAGAATTCGTGGACCTGAGGCCCTTTAACTTCGAGACCCTCCAGAGCTCAATAACTCCAAGGTAGATTGTCAACCGATAGAAGTATAGTCAAACTCCGGGTAAATTTCATTTATGATACTTGAACTTTCACTGAAATTTTGAAGTGGTACCTGAACTTTAAATCCTTTCATAAAAGTACCTGAACTTACATAATCCTTTCACTAAAAGTCTATTTACCCGTTTCCAGGTTAACTTCCGGTCATTTGGACTAAATTAGAATTTTATATATTTTAAAATTTTCAATTTGACCTCATTTCTTTTTTTCTTCTTCTTCCCCCTCCCACTCCCTTGTTTTTCTTTTTCTTTCACCCCCTTTCTTCTTCTTCTTCAAGAAATGGCGAGATTCACCACAAACTATGTTGGGATATTTGATTAAATAATCAAAAGAAACAAAAAAAAAGAAAGAAATCAAAGGAATCAAATTGCGTGTGGATTTTTTGATGGAAGGGAATCAAATTTTGGACTCTTGTGCTTGTGGTCATTTGCAGGAGTACTTCCCTTGGCTTTAAAAGCCATGCATGGTCTTCTTAGTAAGTATACACACGGCTAAGGAAAAAGAGAAAGGTTAAGAGAGAGGTCTACACAAGATATCACCAACATTGTGTGAGTGAGTGTAGGGAGTAACTGGTTTTAGTTACTCAGAAAAATACACCCGGTGTAGGGTGTGAAAAGTCTGTTTATAAGTGTCTGATAATTAGCACTTGTAAACAGGGAGAGTTTTTTTGTATATTGTCCTGAAATAGTGGAAATATAATTTTTTCTCTCATATATTCTTCTTGTGTTTGTTCTCTCATTTTTACGCGCTTAAAATCCCAACAATTGGTAT